ACAATAATAATTCAAACTTAACAAGTGTTTTAATTTTTTATTATGAACAATATTTTCTTTTAACAAGTGTTTTTTTAATTTTTATTATGTACAATATTTTCTTTTAACAAGTGTTTTTATTTTTATTTTTTATTAGATACAATGTTAACATTATAGTCAAAGACAATACTGGTTCAATATATCTCACTGTTCAAGATAAACGAGCAGAATTTATGTTACAATGTCAACCATTATATTTGAAGAATATGACATCAAAGGTAAGAAATTATAAAATTTATTATAAATAACTTATTCCTACCTTTTCAAACACAATGTAATTCTAAAATTTTACAGCATAATAGAGTTAGAATGATTAAAGAATAAATTGCGCCGTGCCAAGATTGTGCCTATATATGCATTTATCATACCTGCACCAACAATGCTACGTCAATTAGATTGTGCACCGTGCCTGACCTTTGTTTTAAATATAGATTGGTCTTAATAATGTCTATACATTTTAGAAGGTAAAACATATATATAATATGTAACTATAACATTTTTACTTTATCATATTTTATAAATATATAATATATGTGTTGTTCATCAATTATAATATTAACTATCATGTTGACAATGCAAGAATACTAATAGAAGACCCACAATAATTTAGATTTTAGTTATAATATATTTTATTTATTCAGTGAATTTCAAACAAATGTAATAAATTTTTATTTTTATTACTTCAATTATGAAATGTCAGCATTTTTTTTCAAAATTATGTATATTTTATGCTAACAATTTTAAAATTGGTTTGATATAATCATAAATAATTTTTTAAAATCCAATCATGTGCATAGCACGGGTAATATGCTAGTAACTAAAAAAGAAAATGACATAATTGCATACTTTTTGAGTCATAATTATAAGAAAAAAATATCATAACTAAACACAATATGAAATATAACTAAAAAACTCATGAGTCATAATTAAAATATGAGATTTTTTTTAGGATATCTGATATTAAGATTTTATAGCATAAAAGAAATTCAATATTTTCATAATATCTAAGGTCCCTCAACACTGATCCAGAGAAATTCTTCATAGAGAAATTCTGGACTTCACAAAGAATTTCTCTAGATTCAAACCAGAGAAAATTCAAAGCATTCAATTTTCTCTGAATTTCTCTGATTTGAACTCAAAAATTTAAAGTTTCCCTGTTTTGTTGAATTTTCTCTAGTTTGAACTCAAAGACATTTGAATTTTCTCTAATTTGAACCTAAGGAAATTCTTGATGTCTACAATTCAATTTTCCTACTCTCTAGAGAAATTAACTATTCTCCATTTGGAATACCTGTGTATTCACCATTACAGTGGCCTAGAGTGATAGAGAGAAAACTTTATAGCAATGGCGTTTTACAGAGACGTAGATGAGGTGTGGAAATGTCCACAACATCCTTCGAATAATCAAATTAAACTCCTTAGAATAATCAAGTTAAACAAATAAACAAAAGCCAAATTAAATTGCTTTAAAGTAATGGAACGAGCAATTAACATTTTAACATCATAAAACGGAAAGATACACATCTAAACACACATGAAAACTCAAAATCAAGACTTAGGTATGTCCAAATTTCAAAATTTTCTCAATTAATTTGTAAACAAACCTTGTCCTCTGCATTGCAGTGGTGCTTATAGATTGACCGAAAGAAGTGATATTGCTCCAACAAAGAATTCAAGTCATCGTCCTAATTGGAGGCGAAGGCTATGGCGGCACGGTGGAGGCCATCAAGTTCAGTTCAAATGGCTTTGTAAAAGAACAAAAAAATCAAAATTGGCGACTTAAGAAACGAGTTATTGACACAAGGCTTGTTGGACTGATCGAGCTGGATCGACGAGAGAGAAAGAAAGAAGAGCAGCGATGAGAGAAGAGAGGAGACGTGAGTCTAATAGAGAGAGAGAGAGAGAGAGAGAGAGAGAGAAGTGAGGGTTTGAAGACGTGAGATATATCAAATTTCTCTGTGATACATGGTGTGCAGTTGAGGGACCTTAGATATCATACAATAATATTGTGGATCTCTTTTATTACCGAAAATGAGAGAGGGATCTTAAACTAATGTCATAACAAAAGAATAAACTAATAATGTCATAATTAAATAAGAAAATAATATGACTAAGAATACATCTAGTACACCATTTTAAAAAGAATGTATATTAGAATTTCCAATTTATAATTTAATCAAAAAAAATGACATGACTGTTGGGCCTAGTAGGAATATAGAAGTTGCTATAGAGAGTCTCAAAATTCAAATCACTACAAAATAAGTCATCGATTTCACTCCAATCTAGACATGGCTTAAATAGTAATCGTATAAATACTTCTCGAAAAATGAAAGGTTTTAGATTTTATTAAACCATTGGCACTAATGTTGGATTTGATATTAGATTTGTTAGTATGAACAAGACCTAACAATTGTATTTTAAAATGACAAGATATTCTCAACAATAAATAATGAAATAATAGACACTATTGGTGAAATTATTCTGAAATAGAATCTCACGTGAAACCAGATTTGGGGACCGGAGCAAAGCAAACATTAGATTTTGTCCAAACTCACGTCGGTGATTAAACAATTAACCCAAAATTTCAAACAATAGTTGACTTGAGGGAGAGAATGGGGTTGCAAGTATTATTAAGGAATATTGTTATATATATTTAAAAGGAAAATGATTTAGAGCCCTAAAATCCCTCCCCCTAATCCCCTTAATTTCCTTTTCTGGAAACTGTTTTCTTTTTCTTTTCTTTTTTTCCTTTTTTTTTTTTTTTTTTTTTTTTACCTTAAATGGCATTTTCGGGGGATTCGGGGTCCCCCTTTCGGGGGATGAATCACTTCCCTATTTAAAAATTAGACTTAATTTTTAAATAATATATTTAAGGTAATATATATTTTTATTATATATTCTCTAATTATTAACTAAATATTATATTTACATATTATTATATGGGAAAAACACTAATAAATCCCAAATTTGAAAATGTTAACCCATTTAGTCCTGAAAGTTTTTTGTTGGACTAATGGGTCCTATTTTCCAAGAAGCTTATTATAGGCCTTTTTATGATTTTCCTTCTTTTCAAACATCAAACATTATTCATCAAACATCAAACATTAGCAACGTTAGGATTATTTATCAAACATCAAATATTAGCAACGTCAGAATTATTCGTATAATGTTGGTGAAAACATTAGCAATGTTCAAACCACCTTTTTATGATTTTCCTTCTTTTCAAACCTCAAATATTATTCATCAAACATCAAACATTAGCAACGTTAGGATTGTTTATCAAACATCAAATATTAGCAACGTCAGAATTATTCGTATAATGTTGGTGAAAACATTAGCAACGTTCAAACCACTGAACATCTGATGTCCTAAACAATTTAGTGGTTCATCAATGTTTGATGTTTTTAGTGTTTGTTTGATGATGTTAATGCTGATATTTTGATGATGTTTGTGGGTGTTTCACGATGATCAGATTATCAAAACATCATCAAATCAAGAACACCCAATAGGTCCTAACATCATCAAAAATGTTTGATGATTATTTGATGATGTTTGTACTAATGTCTTTACATTTAGTTGAACATCAGATTCTTTGTTCAGCATGTTTGGTCCTAACCCACTTGATAAACAGCAGAACATCAGATGTTCTGTTTTTGATGATCATCGGTGATAATCGGATAATCAAATTTTTTGTTTTGGTGTTCGATGTTCTAGCATCTGTGTTTGTGGGTGTTGGAAACATCATAAAAAAGGTCTATAATATGATGTTTGTTTGATGATTATAATGTCTGATGTTGATGATAATCGGATGAACACCCACAAACATCGGATGTTTCAAACAAATTCATGCTGAACATCTGATGTTCGAACCACTAAACACCCACAAACATCAAGAACACCCACAACACACACACAAACAATATGAATCTTAAATGGGTTAACATTCCCAAATTAGGGTTAATCAATCTAACATCAGATTTGTTATTGTTTTTGCCCAGCATGAATCTGATGTTCGAACCACTAAACCCCAAAGACAAGCTCCAAACCCTAGGTAGTTTTTGGCGGATCTGAACAGGAAGAATTTTCCCGTCCGAGAAAAGCTCGTCGGCGGAAGAAGATTGTTGATCGTAACCATCGCGAATGCAGAAATTGAAATCAATGCCGGACGATGAATTCGATCGGAGGACGCGTTGTTCGATCGGTACGATATCAGATTGGGAGATATCGTGAGAGAATGAGATTCTAGGACTGGTAATCAGACCAGGGCTAGAATTTTCAGAGCACAACTCGACAGCCATTTTCTAGAGCTTTCCGGAAAAATTATGGAGTCATTGAAAACAGAGAGTTGGGTTTTTAATGTTGCAAGAGTGGAATCAAAATCCCAAGAGTCGAAAAGGAAATTAATTGCACAAAGTTCGAATATTGGGAAAAAGAGGAATCTTTTGATGATAAATGTTGTGATATTTGATGTTGTTTTGATGATGATGGTTGATGTTGTTTTGATGATGATGTTCTGATGTAAAAAAAGGACTAAATGGTTTATAAAAAAACATTCAGGACTAGATAATGTTGATGATGAATAATGTTTAATATTTAATGTTTGATGATGTTTAATGTTTAATGTTGATGATGATGTTTAATGTTTAATGTTTGCTAATGATGAATAATATTTAATGTTGAAGAATAATGTTTTATGTCTGATGTTTGATGTTTGATGGATAATATTTTGATAATGTTGATGATGTTGTTGATGTTACTGATGTAGGTAGTGGGACTAAACGGTGCCTTGCCATGATGTTTGATGTTTAATGTTGATGATGAATAATGTTTAATGTTTAATGTTTGATGATGTTTAATGTTTAATGTTGATGATGAATAATATTTAATATTTAATGTTTGATGATGTTTAATGTTTAATGTTGATGATGATGTTAGATAGAGAGAGAAAAGTAGTCCACCGCTCTAATTGCCGCTAATAGGGGAGGGAGAGAGCTTAAAATTAAAATTAAAATGCTTCCCCCTTAATTGTACCACTCCTCTGTTCATAGTGTTCCCTAAGATTTTAACCAAAAAACTCATCTTTCACTCATAATCCTTAGCATCCAAACGCAGCGATTTTAGGGTTAGGTTTCTGTTTGATCATCTGCTTCTTCATCTTTCTTTATTTTTATGATTAAATTTGTGATCATGTAGTTCTCTTTCTCAGACTACCCTGCTTTCCCCTAGGGTTTGCTTTTTTCTCCATCTCTACAATTGAGAGAGGAGATAACCAACCTCCTCTCTCTCTCTCTGAACTTGTTCTGTACAATCTCACTTTGCTTTGTTATGAATGAAATTGGTTTTCACAAATTCAAGTGGTTTCTCTCTCTCTATCTTTCTGGCACTCTGAAATTCACTCTTGCAATACACAGATGGGTTGTTTTTCTTGCCTGACTGTTCGCCGAAAGGATGTCAGGAATGTTGACGACGATTCCGCCACTCGCTCTGCTGAGTCTTCAGGTTATAACCTCTTCTTTTTTTTCTTTTTTTTTTTTTTCCCAGACAATTTGCTTCTAACCAAATGTTTGGATTTGGCAGTTTGTGGGAGGGCAAACCCACATGCCAGTGCTACTGGTAAGATTCTTGCAACCACAGTGCGTGACATTGAAGTTCAATAACTCTTAAATTTGATAGATTTTTACTTGTTTTTTTGTTTCCAAGGCATTTTTTCTGTGTTTTTTTTTTGGGTGTTGTTTATTTTGCTTCAAATTAGGCGTTTATGTGCAGAACATGGGAGTCGAACAAGTACTTTGAGCGGTAGAGGCAGGGTAAGTGGTAGCCAAAAGGCCAATGCGGCACGTAGCTTCACATTCCGTGAGCTTGCCGCAGCAACAAGAAACTTTAGGGAGGTTAATTTGATTGGGGAAGGGGGTTTTGGAAGGGTTTTCAAGGGCTGCCTAGAATCAACGCATGTAAGTTTTGCATTTCAAACCTCTCTTTCATGAATTTGCATTCAAAATCAACAAATTTTACGGGTGTTTATTTTTACATTGCAAATTTCTGAGCAGATTGTTGCAATCAAACAACTTAATCTCAATGGGGTCCAAGGGAACCAGGAATTTATTGTGGAGGTTCTTATGTTGAGTCTATTGCACCACCCCAACCTTGTTACCTTGATTGGCTATTGTACTGATGGAGATCAAAGACTTTTGGTTTATGAGTACATGCAGATGGGTAGCTTGGAGGATCATCTTTTTGGTAATACTTGACTTTGAAATGCAATCCTTAAATTTAATGAATATTATTTCTTTTACTTAAATCAATTTGTCCTTGTTTATTTGAACATTCTCATCAAATTTACTGAAATATTGGTTGTTAGCGCAAGCATTGAATTGTATGAATTGTTGTTTCAAATTTTGTTTATCTAAATATGGTCGCTTCTTTCTTAAGTGAATTACAAGCATTTGGTTTAGGGAACAATAGTTTAAGGAAATTAAAATAGGACTGAAATTGCAAGCATTTGTTGAGGGAGATGATAGTTTGTGAGATTTTAGATGCTTGCAAGCATGCATATACCCCTTTCCATCCTTGTAATGAAAATTTTGTATATTGGCCACTAGGGGAAGGTGTGAGGTTCATGCTAGTTCCGACGTGGTTGTGTGTTCTTATTAACCAAAAAATAATAAAATAATCCATTTATGTTTTTTATTTTTAATATTTCTTCTTTAAATCTTCTTACTCGCTTCTACCTTCTATTTATTTTGATTAGACTTGCTATGAATATTGATGTTGGCTTGACTTATTTGGATTTGAGCTTTGTTATAATGATCTAGATTAGTTGTTGTGGTCATGAGATGGCTGATGGCCATTTATTACACGAGCTTGCAAATATAATATGTATTATAGTTTTCTCATCCCCAATTAAACACAAAGGCTTGTTAATTGGTTTGGAATATTGTTGACTGAGAAATAATTCATAGTCAGGCTTGCAACATCAGGCAAGAGGAGAGATTGAATCGATTCAATTGCCCCACATGTAGGTTTTTTACTTTTTATATTTGAGTTAAAAAAAGTCCTGTCATTAAATAGAAAATATTTTCCTTCAAAATTTACACTCATTACTGTAGCATTATAGTTCTAGATACAGTTATAATCATGCGATGTTAGTCGCTTTTCATTTTTAAATCTTTTTAGATGCTTGCTCTGTGTATTTTTTGTTTTTTTTGGTTATGTAATACACTTACTTGGTCTACTTTAAACACTATTTTACAGGCAGAGGCTAGCATCAAGAACTGATGTGAATTCTGCTCTGCTTCTCAATTATATAATCAAAAAGAGGAAAAAGAAAAGGAAAATAAAGAAAGAACCAACAATCAACTAGCAGCCCATTTACTAATAAGGGAAAATGCTAGCGTTATTATAGCTAGCTACTTATAGTTATAACGCCTACCTTATTATTTGAAGAAACGTGCTGAAATATAGTAGAGCATTCGCGCACAATGGCTGATGAAAAGCCAACAACTAAGGTAGTAGAGGAGGAGAACACTTTCTAGCTATGAAGCAGTTATATGACTTTAATAAGGTTTAGTAGTTGTAGGGATACCCGTAGTGACAAGTAGTGCTTGAATGGGAAGACCCTATTGAGTTGTTTTCTTTCTTATGCATTACTATGTAAATGGTCAGCTACACCATTCCTGTTTTGGTACTAAAAACACAGTTTGCTTTTTAAAAAAGAAAAAAAAATTCAGGGCACAATGAGTGTGTTTTTCTTTAGTCTCTAAATGCTTTTTGTTTGCTTGATGTCTGAATTCACCATAAAAGCACACTCACAAAACATACAGTTGGACAACTTTTTACTGGCATATGTTAACTGGACATAGATGGTTCGTCCTATTCTCAGATATTGAACCTGATAAAGAGCCACTGAGTTGGAGCACACGAATAAAGATTGCTGTTGGTGCAGCGCGGGGCCTCGAGTATCTTCATTGCAAAGCAAATCCACCAGTTATTTACCGCGACTTGAAATCTGCAAATATATTGTTGGATGAAAATTTCAATCCTAAGCTCTCAGATTTTGGTCTTGCTAAACTGGGTCCTGTGGGAGACAATACTCATGTTTCAACCCGAGTAATGGGAACATACGGGTATTGTGCCCCGGAGTATGCCATGAGTGGTAAACTAACTCTAAAGTCTGACATCTATAGCTTTGGTGTCGTTCTGTTGGAACTGATCACTGGGCGTAAGGTGATTGATGCCACTAAAAAGCCAGGAGAGCAGAACCTTGTTACTTGGGTGGGTTGAAATATATGCATTTCCTTATGTTCAATCACTTGATGTCCATTTAAATAGGGCTTCTCAGAATCTTTCTATTCTTGAATCTACTAGCTTTATTTTTATGTGGCTGCGGTGCCTTAGTTGTTTTGTCTGTGCTCTCACTACGCCTTCTTACGTTGATTTGTGATCTCTTATATAATTTGATTGGCCTTTCTGACTGGCCCTTTTAATCTATACTTTCAATAGCTAAAACAGATATGAACAGGTAATTTTACCATCTCTTGAATGCTTTAAAATGGGATAACTATGATTTTAAAGGTGCTCCTTGAATTTAAATAATAAAATTTTCTTTGCCTGTAATGAGATGCACTTTTAAACCAAATTTTTTATCCAATATCAACTTCCGAGTATGTAAGTTCAATGCACCTCTGCTTCTCAAATTAGTTTTTTCATTTATTGCAGTCTCGTGCTTTCTTAAAGGACAGGAAGAAGTTTGTTCAGCTGGTTGATCCCCTTCTACAAGGACACTTTCCTGTCCGTGGTTTACAACACGCAGTTGCCATTGCTGCAATGTGTCTTCAGGATCAAGCAAATTTCCGCCCCCTCATTGGTGACATTGTTGTAGCACTTGAGTACTTGGCCTCTCAAACAAATAAAGAGTCTCAGAGAGGTGTGCCCCGCTCTCCCCAATCACCATCACCTTTGCAGCGGAACAATGGCTCATTTTCTTGAGAATGAGATTTTGGAAGCTTTTTTTTCTTTATCTGAAGGTGGTTGGTGCAAGTTATTGTATCACTGTGTTCACTAGAAGGCACCAACCCTCTACATACTGGGATTTTGCATAATTTGGTTTCAGAAGGCTATGTATAGCATGAAGAATCAAAGAAAAGAGTCAGTCTTCTGGTGGAAGCATGAGGTATGAAGAGCTCTGTATATATCTATGCTTTTGCGCTCATTGACATTCAAGAGGAGGACAAAAGATGCCGTTTGTCCTATTTTTCTTACTGACATGCCATCTGTCTGTATATTTGCTGCCAAAAAAATTTGTTCAAATTAGCGGGATGAAAAACAACAGATTTGAAACTATTTTGGACCTTCTGTGTAACCTTTTTGATGGAAGATTACTGTTATATATATATATATATATATTCAAAAAAACTAGGGTGTTCATTTTAGCACTAACAAAGCAAATGTTACGAAGCTGTATTCATAGTCTTTGCTGATCTTAATGCTTGATGTTTTGTGTTTAGACTGGAACAATGTTATAATTATCTGGATTTTGCTTGGTGTACACCATCTTTTATGAGCTTCAGCTGGTGCTGTGGCAGTATACAATTGTCCGAAGTGAGCTTGGATTCTACTGACAGTTGTATATTCCCTGCAATTGCTTTGGCAATAAAACTCCTTTTTTTTTTTCTTTCTTTCTTTCTTTCCGTGTGTCCTTTTTATTTTAGCTACCACATGACCTGCTACGTATATGGAGGATTTGTGTCCTTTCTGGCTTTGCAGTGGTAATAGCACACCATGTCAGGGAAAGGACCCGTCAGTGTATAATTTATTGAACACAAGGCATTTATGCTCGGAAATCCTTAAGCCATATATCTTCATCCGGGCGTGTGTCCAACAAATTCGAAAAGCTTAACTGGACAGGAGCTACAACTCTTGGAACACTCACACATGCACACATACATGACCTATTTATATGTATTTATATGGTTCTCATTCATGTTGTGTGTATTAAGTATATTACATTGTCTACTTGTGTGTAATGTGTTAAAATACTCTGGTTATTTTTTGTAGGGGTGGGCAACGGTTTATCCGAATCGCTCAAACCGTCCAATCCGCATATAAATGGGCGGTTTCGCAAACATAATGCGGGCGGATGCGGTTTGAAATATGACAAATTTGCGGGTTGCGGACGGGTTGTGATTTAAACCCGCAACCCGCAAAAAAAAGTCAAAAAGTTAACCCAAACATCCATATTTTCAACCTCAACTTTTTAGTCTAAAAAGACAAAAAGTGCACTTATTTAGTCTTCCCAAACTTGGCCTTAGTATATTACATTGTCTACTTGTGTGTAATGTGTTAGAATACTCTGGTTATTTTTTGTCTGTCAGGAGAGATTTGCTTTTATGTTTGTGGTTCATATTCACATTAACTTCATGATATCAAGAAAAATTACTTAATTTATGATCTCTACAAGTGCAGGGGTCATCATGTTGTGCTAGGATTGGATATAACTGCTGTATTCTGTTATCACAGTTGTAATAATTATTTAAATTTAAAATAAAAAAAAAAATCTATTTCCATGCGGTGGAATGTAGTAGTAATGTGTAAATTTACAGTTGTTTTGGTGTGTTAGATAGGGGAGCATCTATTTACACACCAAATACTCTTTTTGCACATCTTTCTCACTACACACACCAAAAAAATTAATTCCTAATTAATCTACTCACTACACACAGTTTATTCCACATCTGCCCTCACACACACACACCCCCCCAACCCCAAACCCAGCTCTCTCCCAACGGTGTAAATACACACACCCATTGAAGCTTAAGCTACATCTTCAACCTTGAGGATACACACACCCATTGAAGCTTACCGTGTGCAAATACACACACAGCTTTCATCCCCAAATACACATACAGAGCTTTCATCTTCAACCTCTGTCAGTAACAATAAATCACAAACCTACTGTTGAAAAAAGAAACTCGCATTTCCTTCGCTATGTTTCTCATAAACACTTATTTGCTGATTTTTATAAGATAAATCCTCCATATCAATGATGAATGAGGAAGAAGCTATGAATAAGGAAGGTTGAAGCTTCAGTTTCAACGTGAAGTTTGGATGTATGCATTGAGATGAACGTGAAGTCAGGATGTGTGCATTGAGATGAATTTGGTTGATGTCTAAAATAGTAATTTCATTTAGGGATAAAATTGTAATAAAATTAAATATCATTAAGTGTGTGTATAGAGGGAATTAGGTGTGTATATAGAAGCTCCCGTTAGATAGGATTCCCTTTTAAATTGGAAAGAAAATTGTTCAGAGCTGTAGACTAGCAGGTGTAAATCATTTGTGTGAGGAGAAAATAGTAATATTCCTTATGTAATGGATGTGTATCTTATATTTATATGTATTCATGTCCTCGTCTCCAACTTAGGGAAATTATGGGTAATGTCTGATACTATCTTGTGTCCTTTTTTGGCTGTAATTTTTTTTTTAAAATTTTTTTTTCTTTCTTTTCGTGATTGAATTTTAGATTTTTGGAGACAAAATAAAGGGGGAAAGGAAAGAAAAACATTGGTCTTCAGCCTTGGTCATACTCCCTCCGAAGGCAAAAATCTTAAAATGGGTCTGTTACTGTTGCAGCAAGTGACCCTGTCTGTGTCCATTCTATGACGGTTTGTGATTTGTCTATCATTTTTTGTTTTTAGGCTATGTAAACTTTTTTTGCCATTGTTATTGGATGGTCGGTCACACAGTTTAACATGGTACTCTCCCAATACGATATAATTACTGTAACGAAATATCTTTGAAAACGTGTGTTTATAGAATGGAAAAATATTAATTATAGTTTTCATTAAAAAAAATGTATATATAGATATTATTTGATGGTGATACCGTCTTATAATTGACATGCATAATCATTCAATAGCAAATCATGATGTGAGTACAATAAACTTCACTATGTATATGTGAAGGTTACATAATTTATCTTAGAATATGTAAATTTATATTCGAGTAGTAGGTTCACTATTTCATATGTAATTTTATTATTGTTTAATAATATAATGCATCAGTAATAAGTTGTTACTGTTTGCGGCATCTCCGAGGAGCTCTTGTCAAATATTTTTGTTTAGGAGCCTTGCCACCTATGGCAACACAATTAGAGATTGAAATATATATATATATATATATATTATCATTAAAAGTAAAAGTGTAGTAAGTTTTCTTTATACAGTATATGGTTGGTGCTGAGTCCATAACCCCATAACTTGTGCCATAGTATCATTAAAAGTAAACGTTTCACTTGATTTTCATGAATCTTTTTCTCTCCTTTGTCAAGTGTCAATTTCTCTATTCAAAAGAAGAAAAAAAAATAGTTATAAGAGGAGTACCTTGAACCTATGATCATTAATTGACATAATAAAAAACACTGCTACCACTTAAATAACATAGAAGATATATTTTTTTTGTTCAAAATTAAAATTTATATTTTAAGTATACTTATCGGATAGGCTAACTCCCCTAGTATATATATAGGCACTGAATTTACGGTGGATGGGGCCAATATATATATATATATATATATATTTTGTTGAAATATAACAAGTAATTATTTTATCTTATTATAAATACATATTTAAAAGGATTTCTTTCACTTTAAAACACATTTTAACTGTATGATGGAATGACCCACTTACTGTTTAAATTAACAAATACTTTGACACACAAAATTGGAGCTCACTTTTATTATTTTTATCATATAACACAACTTTAATCTACAAATTGAAATAATTATTGGAGATGCTTTTATTATTTTCTTCTTATTTTTTTTTCTCCCAAAATATTCAGAAGTAAATGTGCTTGGTAGTGACAGAACCACTTTAATGAAATCCAGTCCACACCGATTCAGACGGATTGACCTCGTCGCATTCAACACAAATTTATTTATAGTCAGGTGTACTAAATAATAAATTTTCATTTAATTTGCAACTGTGAAAGAAAACATGGTTTTAATCAGGCCGGTTGGAATGGGTCCAAGGTCTTTTCGGACATGCTATAGCGTGCATTTCAATTTGGAATTTAATTTAATTTTTTTTAAAAGTTTTTTGGATTTTAATATTACAGAGAGAGAGATCACAAATCGCATGATAAATAAATTAGATATGTAAGACCATCTCCAACAGTGAACCAAACCCAGCATCAGATTTAAATTTTGATGAAAAACCCACTTTTTCACGCTCCAACGGTCGCACCAAAGTCATACCAAAATGAGAATTCAGCAAACAAGACATCAAACTGAGATCAAGACACAGATTTTACCAAATCACTGTTACTGACCGTTGAGAGTGGTACACCGGTCAACCAACCGGTTGCCCGGTCGGTTGACCAACCGGTCGCCCGGTTTCCTTTAAATTAGGTAGGTTCAAACCGGTCAAAAAAAGTTCAAACAGGTAAAAAAATATATATATATATTTTTGCCTACCCGGTCGACCGGCCGGTCAACCAACCGGTCACCCACCTGCAAACAAAACAGCGTATGGATTCAGAGTCTTTGGATGAATTGGAAGGATGAAGACAAAACAGCGGAATTTCCATATTCCCACCTGAAGAGTCACCCACCTGCAAACAAAACAATTGATGAATTTCCATAATCCCACAAATTTGTAAATTATGTCCACAAGAGTCACCCACCTGCAAGCAAAAAAATATATATATATATATTTATAGTTATCGGTCGACCAACCAGTCGACCCACAGGATTTGATACAGAATTTGATGAACCGTTGGAGCATGAAGTATCAAATTGAAAAAATAGTTATTTTTTTACTCAAATTTAATGAAACATTAAATGAACCGTTGGAGATGTCCTAATAGACCGTTCACACCACAATTATTAACGTGTTATAAAAAACAATTATTAACTTGTTATAAAAAACTGGTTGTGAGGGCCCCTTCATCATGTCTTTGTAGATTATTCTGTACTCTGAACTGGTTGTAGTGTGAAAAGGGCCTAGGAATCAACTTCTCTGATAAGAAGAGACTTTGCGTCCATGCATGACTATCATTATCATGTCTCTTGGTGCTTGTTGGCCACCACTCCGGCCTCAAAAGGTAGTTTTTAGGTTGAGATAGTGGTAGGGATATAAAATTTACTACTAAATAAATGATCAAATGTCATACATATAGACTCAACATTTATGTACTACTAAATAAATGATCAAATATCATATATGTAGACTCAACATTTATGTGAGACATTTGATCATTAATTTAATAAAAAATTTATAATTTATAGCATTTTTCTTTAGATTGTGTTTGTATAATAAATTTAGATATAAATATATATATATATATATTTATATTTCAATCATATTTATTTAAATATAATTTAAAAATATTTTTAACATTTTTACGGAGCTTCAACGGGATAAGTAATAAAATAAATACTTTGTT